GAGAATTATTGTCATAAATGCAATTATAATTTTCAGGCAATGAAAATGAAAATTTCAGTGTGATAAAATTACCTATTAGAATACTATCAAATAATATATAAACATAATAAATAATGTCAAGTGCTACCAGAGATGTGGAGCAAACTTTACTCATGGTAACAAAAAAGGGCGCAGCCACTTTAGAAAATGGTTTGACAGCTTCTTAACAAGTTAAATGTAAAGATACCAAATAGTTTAGTAACCTCACTATTAAGTATTTACCCAAGTGAAATGGAACTTATGTTCACAGAAAAACTTTATCAGAACATATACAGCTGGTTTATTTGTAATTGCCAAAACTGGAAACAACAGAAATGTTCATCTACTGAATAGATAAAAAACAAAACAAAAACCATGGTACATTCATATGTATGGAATACTACTCAGCAAAAAAAAGGAACAAATTACTGATAAACAGAGCAAAATGGCGGAATCTGTGATGTATTATGCTACAAGAAAGAAATCAGATTCAGAATGTGAAGTACTGTAAAATTCATTTATATGACATTCTAAAAAAAGCAAAACTGTGGGAAATAAGTGGATGTGGTGACTAAGAAAGAGGTCAAGGGGAATTAATCACTGTATTAATTTTCTATTGCTTTAAAACACATCAATAGCTTCTCTCAGTTTCTGTAGGTCAGAAATCCAGGCACAGCTTATTTGAATGCTTTTGGTTCAAGGTTTTTTATGAGGTTATAGCTAAGCAATTAAACTGTCTACCAGCTGCAGTGTTATCTGAAGGCTCAACCAGGCGAGTATCTGCTTCCAAATTCACTTGCACGGTTGTCGATAGGGCTTAGTTCCTTGTGGAGGTTGGTCTGAGGACATTGCTCTTTGCTAGTTGGTTCACTTAAAGCCTCTCCTAATTCCCTGCAAATATGTTTCTCCAAAAGGCAGCCCAAAACATGTCAGCTGACCTCCCTCAGACAGAGCGTGTGAGAGTATGAGACAGAGAACCCAAGACATAAGCCACTGTCTTTTTTTTAAATCAAATGTACATCACAGTGGCTCACAAGTCCCCCTCCCTCCTCCTGCCCCCCCATATCCCTCCCCTTAGTAACCACTAGTCACTTCTCAGTGTCTGTGAGTCTAATTCTGTTCTGTTCCTTCTGTTTTGCTTTGTTTTTATGTTCCACAAATGAGGGAAATCATATGGTATTTGTCTTTCTCCACCTGACCTATTTCACTGAGCACAATACCCTCTAGATTCATCCATGTTGTTGGAAATGGCAGGATTTCTTTTATTTTTAGGGCTGAATGATATTCTATTGTGTGTATGTACCACATCTTCTTTATCCATTCATCTACTGATGGACACTTAGGTTGCTTCCATATCGTGGCTGTGTGTGATGATAAACATAAGGGAGTATATATATTTTTAAATCAGGGCTTTTGTTTTCTTCAGGTAAATTCCTAAGAGTGGAATTACTAAGTCAAATGGTATTTCTATTTTTAGTTTTTTGAGGAACCTCCATACTGCTTTCCAGAGCAGTTGCATCAATTGACATTCCCACCAATAGTGTAGAAGGGTTCCTATTTCTCCATACCCTTGCCAGCATTTTTTATTTCTTGTCTTTTGGATAGTGGCCATTCTAACTGGCATGAGGAGATATTTCATTGTGGTTTTAATTTGCATTTCCCTGATGATTAATGATGTGGATCATCTTTTCATGTGCCTGTTGGCCATTTGTATTTCATCTTTGGAGAAGGCTCATGTTCTTCACCCGTTTTGTGATCAGTTCATTTGTTTTTTGGTTGTTGAGGTATATGAGTTCTTTATACATTTTAGAACTTAACCCCTTATCAGATGAGTCATTTACAAATATATTCTCCCATTTGTAGGATGCCTTTTTGTTCTGCTGATGGTGTCCTTTGCTGTAGAGCTTTTTAGTTTGTTGTATTCCCACTTGTTCATTTTTTATTTTGTCTCCCTTGCCTGAGGAGATGGTTCAGGAAAAAGTTGACCATGTTTATATTCAAGGCCCCCCATAGGCAGTCTGTGCATCCCAGTGATTCATATTTCTCCCACATTCAGAACACACCTCTCCCCAAATCCCAAGAGTTTCATCCCATTACTTTATCAGTTCTACATCCAGAATCTCATCACTTGAATCACGGAATCATGAGTTGGCCTGCCACAAACACAAAGTGGAACAAGGAAATTTTGGGGTAATCAAAGCTGTTTTGTATATTGTGACAGTGATTACACAGCATTATTTGTCTGGTAAAACTCATAGAGCTGAATACCAAAAGGGATAGATTTCACTTTATGTAGTTAATACCTTAATAAAAAATAAAAAACTCAACAAACTCAAGAGGATAACATACATGCAGATACACATACTACATTAAATTTAGCCAAATAAATGGAATGATTGGTTGATGTATTAATAAAATATTTTTCTACAAATCTACATTTTTTTCTCTGGATAGCATGGAATTGTTCCTAGTTACATCATTAAAAAGCCATGATAATGAACCATATGTTAGTGTAATCAATACTTATAGGAAAATAAAATTATTAGGGACTATAAGTTATATTAGTTTTTTTATAGAAATAAGTTTATCACAATAATACCATTTTTTCCTCTTTAATATTTGTTTTAATTCCTTAGAGCAGAAAATTCAAGTATCAGAGATGCACATTTTTGTTAGTGCACAATTAACTTATTTTGTTTACAAAAGAAATATTGGAACAAATTTGTATAAAATGCATTTTTATAACAACTTTTGAAAACAATTTACTTTAAATAAGCTGAATATAAACTGTGCAAAAAAATCCTTTATTTCTTTTTGTTTTCTCCAATTCTCAAAATTGACAGAGGTAAAGCAGTATCATCCAGTTACTGTACCCTGTTTATACAGCTGTACTTCATTGAATGAAGGCTTGTGTTACACACAGTTTGTGATAGGAAGTAAATGCTTTTAAAACAACTAAATAGACAGGTCTTTAACCTCCAACTTTGTGGATTCTTTGTTCCACCATTTAGCTTCTGTGGAGATTTTAAGGATGCAGTTCCTCTATATATTATTACCCTGTAATTACACTTCATCTGAATAGCTCATCCCCTTGTGAATTCATAACATGGATGCATTATGATGAATTTTTAAAAATAAATCCTGAATGGATAATATTTTTATTTGTAATGAAGTTTATAATAGGTTCTGAACTGTTCAGTAATGGGTATGTTCTAAAGAGAAAATGATGTGTAGATTACTTCAAGGGCTCAATCTGTATGAAATTGGAAAAGCCTAAGGAGATTCATCACATTTATTTCCTCCTAATAAACTTCCACACAACATCTAAATATATCAAGGACCACAGGATTCTTTGTATATTTCTTATTTATAGCTATATAGGCTAGTAAATAAACTACAGACTTAGTTTCTAGGTTATTTCAAGGATTATGCCTGGGAAGTTAGAGGTCATTATGGTGAAGCAGTTCTCAATTTGTGTAAGAAAAATTTCCTTAATTGCTAGGGTAGAAATATAGGGTCATTACTAGACATTACTAAAATGTTAACCAATCAGAATCTAAGTTATATATAAACTGATGGTTTATGAAATACTTGCTCTATTTGAAAATATGTGACTTTAATAGAATGACTTCCCTATCTATCAGAAGTCTATTCATAATCTTCTCACTCTCATAGAATTAAGTCCTTGTATCTCTGAGCTATCTTTTGTTGGCCAAAACTCTTTTTCAATTTGTTTTTGCTAATTCCCTAGACAGATTGTCCAGAGAACTCTCATTTTCTAAATGAATGGGCAAGAAATCCACCAAGATTGAAGATATGTAAATGTGTGTGTGTGTGTGTGTGTGTGTATACATATACCATGGTTTTCATTAAATCGTCTAACAAGTTATTGTGCCATGTGTCAGTTAACTATTAGGAAATGGCAATTGCAAAGGCCAATAACCCAGGTTATAAGCCTAAAAGACTGAATTTCTAATCTATACTGGTAGGGATACAGTGATCAAATCACGTGATTAATTATTTTTCCTGTATCTGTAGCAAAGGATGTAAATATAAGTTAATTTAGCTAAGAACATACTTTTTTTTCAATTGGATAGAATTTAATGTGGCATTTTGATCTGTAATTCTGGTAGGAATGAAAAATATGGACAAAATGAAAAATGTGGGTTCTCTTTTATTACACCTACTTAGGGGGTAATGTCATATTTGTTGTAGAAAAAACAAGCAACTGTACTTTTTGTGTGTATATGAATTGCAAGGCAGTATGAGGGCAATCTGCATAATGTGTAATGAAAGTCAACAACTTATGTTTCCTTTTTTATTATGAAAACAAACCAATTATGTGGAACAATTTTAAAAATGGTATAGTGTTTTAGCAAGGTATGGTAAGAGCCATTAAATGTAAGCAAGTATATTTCTTTAAATAGAAATGAAATCTTAAATCTCAGGACTAAATTTTATTCTGTTTTGAATCTTATACCAATAAACACATTTTGAGGCTTCTTAAAAAGCATCAGGAAAGAATATTATGTGATATTTCATTCTAAAATGCATGCACCAAGTATTTCCTGTTGGTGTATTCTTCTTTAATTAGAAATATGTTATCACATACTGAAAACTCATCACTATTCATTGACTGTATTGTAACAACATTACCAGTTAGCTTTTATGATCTGTCATACTGTAATGTATTAGTTAAGTGTAAATTTTGGAAGTCATTTCAGTTTGCTGGAGGCATTTAATTATATCATATACACTATACATATTTACTGGCTATGTTTCATCTTTTTGTTTGTAATCTATATTCTCTCTTCTTCCAAAAGTGATGTGAGACAGCTTATTATAATTATAATTATGTTGGCTAGCTTTTACAGAGATGTTCCAGATTTTTCTTCCTCACTGAACAGAGCAGCATACATACTGAAAATGGAAGTTGCTTTGTTCTTATTCTAATGGCTCATTTCAAATTATGTGTTTTGCAGAGGTTAATATTATGTGGTCTGGACACCAAACACACCACAGTTCTGAAGACTATAACTTGTCCACAGCACTGAGACAGTCCGTCATCCAAATATATACTTCCTGGGTAAGTTGTATGAAATCAAATAAATGTGATAATATAATTCATTTTTAAAAGTTTCAACTGTTTCTGTTTTCTCTGACTAAATTAATAAGGTGTTTTGCCAAAACCCTTCTTTCTCCTCTATAAGGCCAGACACTAAAATGTTTCTTTCTTCTCTGTAAAGCCAGACACACATGAAGCAAGTGGTGTTTTTTAATGGTCATCTTTTACTTGACCAAAGAAACTCACCTTGAGGTACAAGCAAGGTGAGAAAGTGGCTATTTTTTATGTATTATTATCTAATGAGAATGATGTGTGGGCATTATATCTAAATTCAAATATATGCCAATAAAAATTTAATTGGAGACTTTTAAAAGTAGTTTTTAAAAATCAATTCCCATCTCCACGTGCTTAAGTAAAATATAAAATCTCTTGCTTTTTATTTACATATATATATAAGCATTTAGTATGATACTCATCTGGCTCTAAAATATTTTCATACAAAAATGACAAAACTATTAATACTAGAAATAACCTCTAGCTCTAAGGCTCTGACATTTCACTGGGCAGAGAAGATCCACTTGGTAACAGCCTTCATCTGTGACTGTCCTTAGTGATCCAAATACTGCTGCTAAAATGCACGAAAATCAGAGTTGTCAATATGTAAGTGCCTGCATCAGTAAGCTCTTTATTAACAATAAATTATAATGATCAAACATGTGTATGATTCTTTATAGTTGGCAAGGTACTTCTATTAAATACCATTTATTGAGTACTTCCTGTGTGCCAGACAGTCTTCTAACACCTTTTATGGATTAGCTCACTTGATCTTCGTGACAGTGTTAGAAGACATAGGTACTATTATAACTCACACTTTAAAATAATGGAACTGAGTCCATAGTTCAGTCTCAAAACTAGTAAAGGGAGGAATAGAAATGAATCTTACTCAGCCTGGCTGCAGGGTCTCCAATCCTAACCTCTCACTAAATTCCCCTCTATGTGCCTTAATTTTGTTTTTCAGTTAAGTTACTATGCTAGAGCAAGTATTACTTTTATCAGGAACTGAAGATCAGTGAGGTTAACTATACAGATGGAAGGCAAAGAGCCCCATATTTGAAACCAGATGCCTCATAACTAAAAGGAAAATAAACAGGCATGTGTTCTAACCTGAACAGCAGCATAGGCAAACAAGCCTATAAGCCAGTCATGGCACTAATACATATGCTGAAATGGATATTAAAAGAAATCCATTCCCTGTCTGTCCTCCATACTATACACCTGTATTACAGCTTGTATTAATTTTCTAGACCAGCCGTAACAAAGTACCACAAACTGGGTGACTTAGAACAACAGAAATGTTTTGTCCCACAGTTCTGGAGGCCAGAAGTCTGAAATCAAGTTGTCAGCAGGGCCATGGTCCATCTGAGGAAAGAGCTGTTCTAGTCCTCTCTCCTAGGTTCTGTTAGATGCTTGGCTTTAGGTAGTATAACTCTAGTCTTCACATGGAGGTCTCCCTGTGTCTGTCTCCAAATTTCTCTCTTTTTTAAGTAAGGACACCTGTCATATGAACAGACAAATCTCCAAAGAAGAAATTCAGATGGTCAACAGGGACATGAAAAGATGCTCCACATCACTAATTATCAGTGAAATGCAAATTAAAACCACAGTGAGATATCACCTCACACCAGTTAGGATGGCCAACATCCAAAAGACAAGGAACAACAAATGCTGGTGAGCATGTGGAGAAAAGGGAACCCTCCTACACTTCTGGTGGGAATGTAAACTAGTTCAATCATGTGGAAAGCAGTATGGAGGTTCCTCAAAAAACTAAAAATAGAAATACCATTTTACCCAAGAATTCCACTCCTAGGAATTTACCCGATGAAAGCAAGATCTCAGCTTCAAAAAGACATATGCACCCGTATGTTTATTGCAGCTTTATTTACAATAGCCAAGAAATGGAAACAACTTAAGTGTCCATCAGTAGATGAATGGATAAAGAAGGCATGGTACATATACACAAGGGAATACTCTTCAGCCATAAGAAAGAAACAAATCCTACCATTAGCAACAACATGGATGGAGCTAGAGGGTATTATGCTCAGTGAAATAAGTCAGGCAGAGAAAGACAAATACCAAATGATTTCCCTCATTTGTGGAGTATAACAATGAAGGTGTATAAAACTGGAGTATAAAACTGAAGGAACAAAACAGCAGTAGACTCACAGACTCCAAGAAGCGACTAGCAGTTACCAAAGGGGAGGGGTGTGGAAGGTCAGGTGGGAAGGGAGGGAGAAGGGGATTGAGGGGTATTATAATTAGTTCACATGGTGTGTGTAGGGGATCATGGGGAAGACAGTGTAGCACAGAGAAGACAAGTAGTGTCTGTGACATCTTACTATACTGATGGACAGTGACTGCAAATGGGGTATTGGGGGGGACTCAATATTGTGGGTAAATGTAGGAACCAAATTGTTTTTCTTGTGAAACCTTCATGGGAATGTATATCAATGATACCTTAATTAAAAAAAAAGGACACCAGTCCTATTGGATTAGGAGTCTACTCTACTCCATTTTGATCACATCTTAACTAATTACATCCACAATGACCCTTTTTCCCAAATAAAGTTGCATTCTGAGGTATAAGGGGATAGGATTTCAACACATGAATTTATTTTGGGCAGAAGGGACATGATTTAATCCATACCAAAGCTCTAAGCAATATAGGTGGAAAATAAAGATCATGTATATATATATATATGTATATATGTGTATATACATATACTACCTATTACAGAGTTGCCTACCTTGACTGGTTTAGGGCTCCAGTGAATGGAGGGAAGAACAGGCCCCTAGTGGAGGGATGGGATATTGCCTATGTTGCCTTAAGAAGTAGCGGCATTAATACAAACTTATTATCGTGTATAAAATAGGCTGAGTATATGACTGAGCAAAATAATAACCATAAACATCTATATTCTCTCCTGATTTTAATTTTTCTCTTTGCATATGGATAACTCTTAGCTTTACTAGTTGCACTTTGGGGGAGAAAGCCTCCAAAAAAGGATGTAGCTGTATTTGAAGTTGCTCCAAGGAAATTAGTGCAGTTAGTGAACTGCTTATCTGAAAAATGATAAAAGGAAGATTTTTATCAGAACATTGTAGATTTGAGAGCTAAAAGAATGTTTGGAGGTAATATATTTAGATCATCTATTTTTAAAGTTACAAAGCAAATCTCAGAGGAGTCCGCTACATCATATAGTATTGAACATTACTGGTTGGAACTTGGGTCCAGACATCTGACTCCCAGTTTATGGTAATCTTTCTCTGGGTTTCACTTATGTCATTCTTCATTAAGTCAATTGATTCAAAATTACAGATTACTGAAAATTTAAGTGAAATACAGGTTCATACCTGTTTTTTGCTAGAACCAATTCCATTTACAAACTCCTATAACTTTGCTAAGGACACAGAAAATATGCTCAGTAATAGTGAGCATTGGGAATGCATCACAAGCTACTAATCTTGGGACAGGGAAGAGGGGACCACTGGAGAACTTGCTGTGTGGGAAGTGAAAGGTAGAGAAATTGTATATCAGCCTGGATTCTCATCTAGTGTTTGAAGATAGCCCAGATGGTTTAAGGGTCTGTGATGGTCAATAGTATGTGACATCTTTCTAGACATTAATATCAGAGTTGCCAGTTCTCTTCACTTTCATTTTTTTGGGGGGTCTTTTGTAAGATTCCCTTCATCAACACAGCTATTTAAGGAGTATAATTTGGTAGTTACTAAAGTAACAGTGTATTTTAGAACAAATTGTAAATGGTCATGTCTTTGAATTGAAAATTGATTTGTGAAATGAAAAGCACAACTAAGATTAGAGTGCTTTTCTTTGATATACTATGAAAATTAAGGTGGCAGACCTGTCATTTAAAGTAGCTAAGGCAAATTTCTAAACCTACTTGCCCATTTTTTTAGCCAGTTTTATGCTAAGATTTAATATTATTCCTCCCAAAGAGCTGTGATTGATGGAGTGTCATTCTAAGTGGGCTTTATAAAGTGTATACTGAAATATCCGGTTTTGCATGCTACTTTAATCTTTTATTACACATCTTAATACAATGATTTAAACATGATTATCTCTCCACTTTGTGAATAATAAAATCTGTTTAAACTCATGGATATTACGTAATAGAAAAAGTGTCAGGATTACCATTTTGTTTTCTTCCAAATTTATAGATAAAATACCTGAATGCTACAGTTTTATATTCAAAAGCCTTAGAAGTGCTCAAAAAATAAAATAATGGCATATGACAAAAGACATATTGAAAGAGCTCCAGTAGCCAAAATCCTTAACAATTTGAACAAAATGTGAGGAGTTATAATAATACCAAGTATGAAATAAACATCTTTGAAATCAATCCATACTGGTATAGATAAATGATTGAATAAATAAATACATGGGAGACAAACTCACTTAAAGAATTACAAAAGAAAAATCCAAATAATATATATAGATACTGCTCCCCTCCATGATATAGTGCTTAATGCCCTACTTATCCCTACCATTTGGGTGCAGACTGTACTTAGTAATTCCTTTGTAAAGAAAAGAGTATGGAAAAGGGACAAAAGGTGGGGTGGGAAGAAAGGGTAAATTTAGAGTAGAGAAACTGAGGAACACAATCTCAGATCAAAGTTAACATCCTCATATATCTTGTTACTAGCATGTACCCTCTGATAAGATGTGATAAGAATGTCCTGATGATAACATGTACCCTCTGAAAGAAAAGCTGAGAGTGGTCTTGTATCCCTGTGGTCTTCGTCATCATAACCCATAGCACCAGTCAGTCTAACCATGAGAAAAGATGTGTCAAATCCGAATTGAACAACATTCTGTGAAATACCTAACCAGTACCTCTCAAAAGTGTAAAGGTCATGAAAACAAAGAACATCTGAGAGACTATCACAGATCATACATGGGAAGCTAGAAGGTTTTAAGACTAAATGTAATGTTGCATTCTGTT